AAAACTTTGTTGCCATTGAATTCTACTGGCAAAGAAATATTATCTTATTTCAATCATTGACACTGAAACTATTATTGTATGATATACAACCCAAACAAAAGCAAGTTGGCACGGAGATCAAAAACAGACAAAGCAAGTGGATAGATAGATAGATAGATAGATACATTAGTTATATAGTACCACCTAATATATTACTCATTTGGTTTGTCTCTAGAAAAGCATGAGCTACTGTATATTGATATTGATGGCATAAAAGTGCTCATCAGGATATAGATGACTTGCTGTTTTATGAGAGAATGCTAAATTGTAATTTGATGTTAATTAGATGACAAGAAAAAAATATTATGAAATTTTATAAATTTAATCTGTAAAAATTTAAATATTCCAAAATAAGAATATTTATGTTTGATTCATTACNGAAAAATGCGAACTAATGTAACGTCGTATGATGAGTTTTTGTTCGTATCGTGGAGCAAAAATATGTTCGAATTTCATGTCGTATCCTGAAAATTTCGTATGCTGGGGCGTTCGTAACCTGAGGTACCACTGTAATGCCTAGTTATTACATACAATGCCTAAGAAAGTATATATAATAATAAAATCATTTGGATATTTCATACTTTGCCCAAAAATGCCAGACATTCTAAACAACTCCTGCTTTTCATACATTTCCAGTAACATATACATTATTTAGTCCAGGAAAAAAAATCTATGGATGGAATGCTGGTAGGATTTACCATTTGTATCAAATATATACAGCACAATACAGTAATAACTTGACTTACGCTACCCCAACTTATGTGAACCCGGAGTTACGCGATTTTCAAATCTTGTCAGTTCATCTTTTGTTTGAGCGCCATGCAACTCTCAATTACTCACTTCCCCCACACTATTGTTCAGCTTACATGTTTGGACATGTCGCATGGAATCGTCACATAGCTACAATTTATTTCTGTGTTTGTTATATCTAAAGAGACTCGAGAGACTCTATGTGTTGATTTCTTGTAACTGTGAACGAATCAAAAGACGAGATAAGATTAACCAGAACATTTATTAGCTTACATATATCCTACTTGGATTTTACACAAATTGCAAAATTATACCCTGACTTCACGAATTCGACTTACGTGGTTATCGCTCGGTCCCATCTATCGCATAAGTTTGGGGTATTACTGTAGATATTTTTTTATGCAGTCACAACATCAATATTATCATTTAAAACTATATTCATAACCAGAGTGCACTTATTGTATAGTAAATTATATTACATGCAGATGAATAGTGTGCACTGCTGCACATGTCTAACGATTAAGAATGAATGATTATTGAAATCAATAAATAATTATACAGGTATAAGATTTCTGTTGTTCTTTTCCATTTGTCTTTTAGAACGGCTTATTAACAGTGTGATTTAACAGCTTAGTCAAAATAAAACTGATACAGTAGAGCGTCGTTTATCCGAATCAATTGGGGACTGGGGTGGTTTGGATAACTTATTTTTCAGATAACGAATCATGTACGAAAAAATATATTAATTTATCCCATGTTGAAATTTNAAATTATAATTTAATTAATGATTTGAAAGCTATTACAGTGCTTCATTTTTAACTAATTATTGAATCAGAGGCTAATAAAATTTCTTTTTCTTTCATTATATTGCTCATTCAGATAAATGCTTTTTTTTTAGTCTTTCAAATATAAAAGCACTTTAGACAATAATTTTTAAAACTTTGTTGCCATTGAATTCTACTGGCAAAGAAATATTATCTTATTTCAATCATTGACACTGAAACTATTATTGTATGATATACAACCCAAACAAAAGCAAGTTGGCACGGAGATCAAAAACAGACAAAGCAAGTGGATAGATAGATAGATAGATAGATACATTAGTTATATAGTACCACCTAATATATTACTCATTTGGTTTGTCTCTAGAAAAGCATGAGCTACTGTATATTGATATTGATGGCATAAAAGTGCTCATCAGGATATAGATGACTTGCTGTTTTATGAGAGAATGCTAAATTGTAATTTGATGTTAATTAGATGACAAGAAAAAAATATTATGAAATTTTATAAATTTAATCTGTAAAAATTTAAATATTCCAAAATAAGAATATTTATGTTTGATTCATTACCAAGAATTATAGAATTTTTTAAAATGTATTTATTTTTTTAATAATTTAAAATATAATAATTATTATTTGAATAAAGAAACAAATATTAGAAAACTATTCTTTACCAATAATAAAAATAATATCAAATAATATATTAGCTATGAAATCAAAGTGAAGTTTTAATTTTTCATTATATCAATGATATTTATATTTCTTTCAATGTGTGTAATGAAGAATATTAGATCAAAGATGTTTGAACTATTTACTGAACATACTGCCAATATTGTAATAGACTTAAATGGGTAATGAACAACTGGAAGTATAAATTTTGGGTATGTGATAAGTCAAGTGGGCAACAGTTAATTGGGTGACAGAAACTTAAAAATCGCAAGCTTAACAAGCATACAATTTTCTGGATATATTTCTTTTTCTGTAAATACTGATAAAATTATAAAAACAAATATGGACAATACCATCTGGTAATTGTCCTGTCCTGAATATGTACTATACTTATTAAGAAGTGAGATACAGAAAAGTGCAAATGATATATTGAAAGGAAAAGGTAAAAAGGTGATAAATGACCATTTATTAACAACTGATATCAAATCTAAAACAAAAAATAAAGCAAGTGGAAATGAAGTTATACAAAAAATTTGGAAAATACTATAAATGTTACAATATAAATGTGTACTGTACATTTATGAAGAAAAAATAATAATTAGTAGTAAAGTTATTAAACTGTTTATTGTTATGTTTTTCCTAAAACAGAACTATATTTTTAGTCACTATATATGGCAATAAGTATTTTTAGAAAAAGAGCACTGTCTATACCTCCCTCCAAACCTTGACTCACATCAAATATCAAGTAAGCAAATAATTAATGTCATTTTTTTGAAATGTGAATGGAAAAGGCTTGTATTTTTTTGTTTAAAATAATTTTACTCATCAAAATATTCATCTTCACATTCAATTACACTTTCCTAATGGAAGGACAGAACAGTTTAATTTAGAATTTAAAATATTTAATGGTAAACCTGAGCTTTCTATGAGGAAAATCATATTATAGATTGATATATAAGGATAATCCTATGTCTGTGTGAAAATCTATCACTGCCATTAAAAATGAAAATAAAGGGCAAATTGCATCCTTCATCATTTCAATAAATGTTATGGACAATTTAACTGAAATAAAGGATACCTAACAACCCTAATTACAGTATAAGTAAAAATTGTATATGCTAGATCCTTTCATATTAACAAATTTGAAGGATTGATAGCAAGAGAAGAAAATAGTTTAACAAAATCTTCACAGACTATACCTTAAAATATCAATTTAAATTTGCTTGTAAATTTTTGGCTAAATCTAAATAATTGCTTCACAAATGCAATCATTCAGATTTAGCCAGAATTATCAGATAATCAGGTTAATGAAAATTTTAATGCAATTCCCAACCACAATCCCTCATACAACACTGCTTCACTCTAACACAGTTCAAGAATTAGAGACATTTCCATACAAAATGTCACAATTGTTAGATTCAAACTCCATCATTTGATATTTATTTTATTCAAGCAAGCATGCATATTGTCCATGGATTTTAGAATATGAAAAATTTCAATCTTGTTTCATGCCTTTTGCCCAGTTTCCTTTAATTTGTTAATGAGAACCAATTGTCCAATTTCTTGACCTAGCTTACTATAAATTAGGTGTCACTAGTTGGTGATAGTGTTCTAAATTAACCCAAAAGACTGTCACAGTATCTTGTTTTTTATAGATTAACAGTGTTTATCAGCAAAGAAAAAATTAATATTAATGTGCAATACTTTTGATTGTAATTGTTAGTTAATTATTGACTACTTTAATAAACATATCTCATTAAAATATGAAAAAGTATAGTATACTTTTGCTAACTTTTGGAACATAACTATTTTGTACTAGTCCTTTGTTTTGTATAGCACAGATTTATACAACACAGCACTTTTTTGGAACCAAACTACCATATTATAAGGGGGATATCTGTACTTACATATAAAAGATTTCTCACATCTAGTTTGTAAAACTAAATGTAGAAACTGCTTGAAAAATGTTTAGGCACAGTGAAATTCCATTAACTCGGCATCCAGTATGCGGCACATTCAGCACGTCATTGGGGGTTAGCGGCACATCATTCTTTACCATCATCATCAACAACTTCCAAAATAAACCATATGGAAACAGAGGAAGATTGCGGCAATGCTAAGTAAAATCAGTTAGCTCATGCACAACTTTTCTAAAGACTTTTCCATTACAGCACTGGTTTTATACAAGAAGAGAAATATTCAGGATACTCGGAATCAATAATTATCATAGACACAGCTACAGTACAATACTGTTAACGTACTTTTATAATTTACAGTGCATTTGTATTTATATGCAAATAAAAGTGTACAAAGCATAAAGTAGGAATAATGTTCTTGTTTCAAACCAAACAAGGGTAGGAATAGCCTAGAAAAATTGAAATGGCATATAAAACAATCATAAAAGGTGGATTTGTACAGTTTTACATGCAACGATATGCAAAAATGTGTTCAAAAAAAAAAGAATAAACTGAAAAACATCGTCATCCGATAAAGCCACATCAGTCCCAACAATATAGAGTTAATGGAATATCTCATGATGGGTCGCATGTAGGGGTATGGTTCCTTGACTTATTTGTTCACACAAGATGGGTCTACAATTTGGGGGCTCGCAGACCCCTCATTCGGATATTGAATTGTACCTGGAATTTTACCATAATCGGAATCCAGAATTAATTTGCACGGTATTCAACCAAATACTTTGAAGATTGTCAGGGAGATGCAACACCAAGATGGAAAATTCATAACATAAACAGCACTTACAACTCTGCATCATTTCTGTTAACGTCTCCAACGCCGCTTTATCTATCGAACTGAATCCAGCTTCGAAACACATACAACAAACAGCCGAAGATAGAGCTTTACGGCGAGCATTAACAACTGTCGATTCCGTCGTCGACATTTTTATTAACTAAAATCTCGAACGTGATACAATTAACACATCGCAATCGGTTGTAGTCAGTTTGATATGAGTTCGAGGCTATTCGCGTTTTTCACCGGATGCTCGTCCTCTGGTGTTTAAAAACAGAACTACTCTATCAGGGTCGTTTGAATGTTCTTCGTATATTGTCAACAGTAGAGATGAATAGTAAAAGTAAAGCTTTCTGTTGTGTTACAAATTGTAATTCCAAAGCCATACGTGATCCCGATATAAGTTTTCATGTATTCCCACATGAAAAACAGATGATTTTTCGTAAATCAGAATTCGGAGAATCTCAGAAATGTAACTGACGGGATGAGTGGATTCGACTGCTAAGAATTGGAAAAAAAGTTACGAAGTATATGGTAGTATGTTCGAAACATTTTATTCCTGAAGATTATATTTTGTCATGTAAGTATGCTATCGTGTTTTTATAAATATGTTTAGATTATTGTAATTCGATAGTATTAAAAAATCAAACTGAAAAAGATTGCATAGAGTCTAAATATAAAGTAATTTAATATTTGTATTCGTTTTTAACCTATACTATAGGATTATCTTCAATAAAATGTAATTCTATTCAAATTGTGAAATAATTCTTATTTAAACTTTAGCATATGCATGTAAAAGAAGACATTTAAAGAAAACTGCCGTACCAAGTTTACTTTTACCGGAGAGCAGTATTTATACAAAAACGTGTTCTAAAAGAATTAAAAGAAATAAGTTTTCAGAAAAAACGTATCAGACAGAAGAAACTTCCCATGAAATTGAGTCAGAAATCAGTGATAGAGAACAAATAGAAGAAACTTCCCATGCAATTGAGTCTGAAATTAATGATAGAGAAGCTGCTGAAACACTTTTAATGTTATGCAATTCTAATTATGATAAAAATTTAAAATGTCACAGATCAGTTGGCATACAAATATCCACTGCAGAATTTTTGGTAAATATACGTAATTTCATTAAGACAGAATCCCAACTAAATTCCATTACTGGTATACAAACTTTTGAACTATTTAATGCTATTGTTAAACTTTTTAGTGATGTATGTAAAACAAAACAAATCAGTAATACTAATTTTTCTTTTGAAGATAAACTTTTTATGGTCCTAATCAAAATGAAATTAAATATTTCTTTTTCTGTTATATCTATATTTTTTCATTGTTCTGTACCAACTGCAAGTAGAATATTTTACCCAAGTGTGAAAATTCTTGCTTCCGTACTTAAGTGTGCAATTGTTTGGCCATCAAAAACAAATATTTTAGAAAATATGCCTAAATGTTTCGACAAGTTTCGTAATGTAAGAGTAATTTTGGACTGCTCAGAAATTACAGTGCAGAGACCAAAGTGTTTAAAGTGTCGAATACGTTGCTACTCACACTATAAAGGTGACACAACTATAAAATTTTTAATAGGTGTTTCACCAGGTGGAATTGCAACATTTTTAAGTAGTGCATATGGAGGTAGAACTTCTGATAAGGCAATCTTTGAACAGAGTGATATCTTAAATTTATTAACACCTTATAGTGACTCAGTGATGGTTGATAAAGGCTTTTTAATTGATAAACTTTGTTCAGAAAAAGGAATAGAAGTAATTCAACCACCATTTTTGAAAAAAAAATAAACAACTAAATAAATGAACTGGCACTGAGAACAAAGGATATTGCATGTGCCAGAGTGCACGTTGAAAGACTTATTCAGCGAATTACAGAGTTTAACTCTTTCCGTCCTGTGGACATTAAGAGGGCCTCTTTTAGCAAATCCATTATGGGTTCGGCCAGGCCCACAATCGGCGGTTGGGTGGTGAGGAATGGGGCCCGACATATCCGGACGGATCACCCCCGAAAAATTCCTGCGGATTTTTTGACCCGTCCGGATTCGATCCCGAGTCCCCCCATAACGGGGGCCTGCCACCTTGACAGCTCGGCCATCCGGCCGTAATTTCTCGATGCGCATTTACGCGATTTTGATAACGCGTATATCAAAATCGCGTTAATCAAATACAATGGTAATGATACTCGCCCAAACACGATCTACTAGAACAATTTTCGGCTAACAAGTTATTTGTTGCCTTAAAGCTAAATAGAGTACATTCAAAATCCACAATCGTGATTTAAGTATATATATAAATTCCCTCTGGCGTCCGTCTGTCTGTGTATCCTTCCTTAAAACATGAAAGTCGAAAGCAAATATGGAAAGTTTTGGGGAAAAGGCCTTCATTAACTATATATGAACTTTCCGGTTTGCCCAGAAATCATGCTATTTCAATTCAAATATTTCCCACTTAATGCCGGTAATCTATTTACATAGATAATTTAATTTAATTCTATTGTTAACTAACAGAAAAACCACAAGACACTACTGGAACTGAGAACATTGCGACGTTGTCGCAATAAATAATTGCTTGTTACTTTTGTTATTCCTATGTGTATTGGCTTCTTTTCATTCATTCTTATAATAATAAATTAAACATGAAATACGCAACTCTTCGCTCGCCTTTCGTAATTTCCAAATGAATGGCAACCCAGAACTCACCATGGGGAGTGGCTGCGTCAGTTCCACAGAGTTGGAAAGAATGCAACTTCACAAGTGATGCTAATCACTTGTGAAGTTTCATTTATCCTAACTCACACTTGAAGACATCTGTTTAACGTTAATTAAATAGTTTAATAATGATTAAAATTGAACATTTATTACATACAAACATTTGTACAGTACATTAAATTTACAGTATTATTCTTATAGAAACTAACGCATGCAATATTCTTACTACTAACAATAAAAGTCAGTAACGATACCTTACCATAATGAAACCTACGAACGAATATTGCAAATAAAATATAATGCAATTCTCGGACCATATTCGAAGTAGAAATTAAAAATAACAAACGATAATACTCAATAATCAGAACTAATCGCTGATTCAATATACCATTACCAAATAACACTGAAAAGTCAGAGTAGTCTCCGACTCTCCTCGGTGTCTTATCTCTTGGACTTGCGCAAAATTTAAAGCATGAGAGAACATATCGAATTTTAATATTATGGCATTTAAATTGAAATTGCCATCTAAATTTTATGTATAATTTGGTAAATTAATTGAATTTATTTAAAAAAATCCACGTGTTATAAATGAATTTAACAATACTTTACGTTTGAATTTAACATTATATCGTCCGTCGTTCCATTTTGATTTCTTATAAATCATAGTTTACTCGCTATCAAAATTTTTCTCACAAAATTAAAATACAGGTGAAGAAAGAAAGCGGAAGTTTACTTGTTTTTTCCTCCAACAATGCATTCAAACAATTGGTTACTTTCGAAAAATACGTGACACGCGTTACGTCACAACATTATTCTATTTCAATTACAGTAATTCATTTGAAAAATTAAAATGATTCCATTTTCTAATAAATAAAATTATTAAAATGAAATTTACAAATGTCAAGTGAATTCATTCATTCTAATGTTATCTTGTATTTTGGAAAGTTTAGATATTTTTATTATACACCCACACATGGATATTTTTTCTTTTTTGACCTTTTCCGTTTATGGAATTCCGAAAGTGCTTTTTTGTGTATTTTATTGTTATTTGATTCAAAAACGCAAAAATAAACACATTAAATTTAAGAAACTCGCTGTAAATTATCTAGCTCAGTGTTTCTCAACCTCTAACGAATCGTCGCCCCCTTCAACGTAGTATCGCTCCCTTCACTTCAAAATTCAGATGGCCAGGGCCAAGGCTAAAGCCAAATTCGTACTGCATTGAATAGACTAATGACTAGTATAATGTTATTTGTTTAATTATTGTATGATATAACGAATAAAATATCTAATTATTCTTAATCTATATATATAAAAATGAATGTATGTCTGTGTGTCTGTCCTTCATGTATTATCACACCGTTTTTCCGATTGCCATGAAACTTTGGGAAGTTGTTTAATATACTCCCGCGAAGGTTTCTGGTATAGTACGATTGCCATGAAGCTTTGGGAAGTTTTTAATACACTCCCGCGAAGGTTTCTGGCATAGTACATTTATCCTACGATAGATGGCGCGCGTGTATACGAGCATTTTACTGTGTGTTCGATCGATTTCAAATTGTGAAGACCATTCCCCCCCTCCAAAAATATCTCTATATATGCATTTGTTATTTACGATATTTGTAATAATTTTTGTTTAATCACTTTATTTCACTTTTTTTTTTGCTAATTATGTATTCGCTCGAACTTTGTTAAAACCTTAACTGTATCCCGAACAACAACCGAAGTTGTAGGAGGAAATTCGCCTATTTTACCGATCTAGGGATCCCCTTTTTCAAATTTTAATATTGACTCAAAATAATTTAAAAAGACAAATTACAATAAAATGGTTTATTATCCAACTATCAGAAATTTCACAACATGCCAAGGAAAGAGGAAGGAACAATTAAAAAATTAAAATTATAAAGAATATAAAGAATTAAAATATATATCTATGGGGAATATCGCACTTCTGACAATCGCTGCGTGTGGGCTAAATTTGGAGAATCCGTGCTTCTTGCATGGACCAGCTCACGCATCGGAAAACCTTCTGATTTTTCGTGTACGCACCAAAAAAATATCGTGTATCCACAAGCACTCCAATAAATAAATAGAATTGAAACGACACTTTGAAATGTTTTCTCGATGAAAATGAATAATAATAATAAGTTTCAATAAAAATGATAAAATGTAAATTGAATTTTATCATAACGAGTTTGCTTGAATTTTGTTTCTTCTGAGATCGCAGCAATGCGCGACGGGTAAGCTAGTTCTTAATATAATGTTTTACTATATCGCCCAGAAAATTGTTTTTCGCCCCCAAAATATAAATTGTTACTAATCGCCCCCTCAACATGGAAAAATGTCCACATGAGAGCGATACTGCCCCCGTTGAGAAACACGGATCTAGCTTATACTGATTAACATGGGCTTTGTGTGACATTTGAGAGGAATGTGTCATTTTTAAGATCAGGGTAGATGGATAGTGTAGCACACAATAACTACTACTATTAATAATATTATTGTCAGTAAGTCGTTAATTAATTGTTTTATTGTCTTGTAAACGAAAACTTTCTTGATTTTAAGTCAGTCAAATTACAATGTTATTTTATTGTACTCGGAAGAATGCTTTCTTTAACGTTTAATTAATAACAAGTTTATTTAGATTTGATTAATTTTATATTTTAGTCGCAGTTTAACCGGCATGCCGGTAACCTGGGGTTTCTAGCATGCTGGTTTCTCCCGTTATTATGCGGCATGCCGGGTCATTCCGCGAAAATATGGTAACAGCTCATAGTCTCTTTGAATACATTAGTTTTTGCGTGATTTCAGAGGACATTTTTTCTCATTCTTCAATGAGAAGTCTTTGAAATGATACAAGCTCAATATCTCTTGTTTTCTCACTTTATCGTCGTTTCCATAATGTTCGATAAGATTCAAATCTGGAGACTGTGGGTAATGTTTCAGATTGTGAAATATATGATAAAGTAACGGACAATTGACGGACAATATAAACTATAAGTTTACTAAGTCCTGCTAAAAGTAAAAGTAATCGAAATTTAGTTTATCTGCACTTTACTGAAGATGAGAATATTTAAGACATTATTTTAATCATTGTACCATCTAAGAATACAAGTTTTCTCACATCAGTAGCCGATATGCAATCCTATACTATTACATTTACAACCCCCACATTTTACTGTGGCTTGAACATTCTGTTCTTGCAGCTCTATGCTGGGTTTTCTCAAAGTAAATTTTTTCCATTGTTATAAATTAAAGTAAACCTACTTTCAACTGAAAACAACACTTCAGACCAAAATGAATTATTTGTATTTCAGTGGTGTGCCGTGACATTTGATGATAGGGAAGCTGTGTTTCTGTAAAAAGCCGACTTCTAGGGGCAATCAGTTAATTGCGCGTCAGTGATGGTCTATGGTCGATTCGTATTCGTTTGTTCGATAAGCCAGTAAAAACCGCAGACTTCTCTAAATGTATTTTTAATATCACAATTACATTCTGAATTGCTAGCCATGATATAAGAGCTAAAATTAAAAATAAAATTATAATACCTTATAAAAACTTACTTGATGAAATAAAATGTGTGGTGGATATACATACCCGGTACAAAATATTCTTCAATTGTATGAATATACTTTTAAAGAAAATTATAATTAAATATAGCTTTGTAAAGAAACGTACATAAAAATAACATAAAATCTTCTTTACTTTTTAAATCTTAAAACAATCAACTTAGTCAAATAGCTTCCTACGAGTGGCTAATGGATGGAATCAGAAATGGTCCTGTTAGGCGTGCAGTGCGTGCATGCACGCGGACTGCCAAATTCCGAGGGACCGGGACTGATCAATGTCAAATGCCTCTTTTGTCTCATCACTAGTATGAAAGAAAGCGGAAGTTTANACATTGTCCGTCATTTATTTTTTTAACTAATTCGTTTTAGGACCAGGTGTCCACGGAAATTTCCAAAATTTACTTTTCAGTCACTCTCTTTGAACTGGAAAATTTCTATCTTTATTACATGTAATATTACTAAGAAATCAGTCCCCACTGTACTCGGCTAAAGATTGGTTCGGTTAAACTTTTGTTTAAATAAAATTCCGGCTCTTTCAGCAGGGTTTTATTTATGTCCCTAATTCCCTAATCTCTTAATTATTTAACTACTTCTTAAGTAGAAATAAGTTGAAACCGGTTACTTTGCATTTGAATATTTGTAGTCTTGGGAAAGAAGTGGAAAGACAAATTTTTATGACAACGATACATAAATCGTAAATTTAAGGAATATAAATTCTAGAGCTTTTTTGTACCTTCTGCGTCTCATTCATTAAATTTAGTTGTAAATGATTCTGCCGAAGACTAAATCGTAATATCGCCAGTTTAACATTGAAATTTATAAGTAATACAAGATGGGAGAGCAGAATAAATATATCAAATATTTTAATAGATTTTTTTTTTAAAATTCCTATCAACTATACAGAACTATCATAAAAACATACCAGTAAACTCCTATCGGTTGGGTTAAGTTATAAATCTACTCGTGATTCACATAATGGGACGCAGGCAGCTAACAACCCAGAACCTGTCCTGGATAGAATCATTGAAAGCGTTATACGAGATTTTGGTGTGTAGCTTCCACCTGCTGTGTAAAGCGCATGCATAAATGCGTATAATCTGGCTGCTTTATACCAGATATTTTCGCTGTGAAAGCTGTCCCGTATTCGACAATACAGCGCTACTGATATTCGAATATACAATATCAATCTTATCGTTTTGTTCACATGTAGTATAGAAATTTGTAATAAGATACATAATGCGGTTATAATAAAACATTAATTTTAATTAATTCAAAGTACGTTAAAATATGAAAATAATCGCATAATATATATCTTTATATTTTAGAAAATACAAGGGAAGCGGCGCTTTCAAGGACGGCAGGCCACTGCTGTATTTATATGATCTTCAGAAAGAAAGCACTTCTTTCGATTCATTCTACTTATGTATGGCTTTCGTCTGGCAACTCCTCTTCTGTATAGAAATGATGAAGGATGATGATGATTACCAGCATGATGAAGGATTTGGCAGACAGTTTTCAGATGAACAACCTTGCTCAAATCTTCCTTTAGCTTCATTGCAACTTCAATTGAAGATATTTTTGGTTTCTTCTTGACAGAACAAACGACATTTCTCTCTTCTCTGGGAGCAAGCTTCCATGGATGACTGCATCTTGGTTTATTTTCCAAGCTGCGAGTCAATTTAAAATGCTTAATTACATTTTTTACAGTAAACCTACTCTTTTTAACTATTTCCCAATTTCTGAATATGATTTGTTAAGACTACTGTGAGGCTCCGGAAGTGGATCGAAATTCGTGCACGGAAAATATATTAATTTCGCATGAAAAAAATTTTATAATTATTAATCTTATTGTAAAAAGAAACCGTCAAACGCAAAATGAATATTTTATGTCCATATAAGGACATATCTGTAAAAACTTCTAAGAAAGTCGAACTACTCAGGTTAAAACAATGGATGAATTTGAGTACTTAGATCGAACGTCTTCGATAGGAATCAAATTGTCAATCGGAGTTGACTCAACCCGCGATCTGGGCTCCGATCCCGTTACAATTCGTAACGAGGGGGACCAATTGGAGAACGGGGGAAAGTCGACATCGACCTATTGGAATGTTCGATCTGGGACTCAGAAAAAACTTATAAAAATCGCGCAAAAAAAGGATGTGACGTTCTTGGTTCTAAGTTCGGTGTGCTCCGCTTCTGGATTTTTCCTGCGGTTCAACAACGGAAACTTGGTCGTCGTTCCGAAAGAAGTTTTCGCCATCCCGTCCCGGCAAGTTTCGCCAAGGGTAATCTGCTACGAGAATCACCCCTTCAAGTTATGCTGTGCGCCCCGGAGACTACGTTTTCCCCCATCATCTTCGCCAAAAGGAGAGATGATCGTAAAAAAGATTGAACTTTATTTACGAACTGATTCACTCTACGGATAGGCCTTACGCTGAAGTAAAACAGTAGTTGTAAGCGAAATTTTTATATTTAATAAATAGTTTGCGATGGAGAACCTGTCTCAGTAAGTTTTTTCACTCCCACACGACAGTGCTGACCGCTCGACTGTCGCGACACTTTCTCCCCAATCGGCAAATCTCACACTACAAAAATTGTGATTTTTCTTCTTTCTATTGTTGTTTCAGTACCTCTGCTATTCATTTTGGTAACAACAGTGTAACAACTAAATTGAAACAACAATAATTTTCATACCTGATAAGGTTAAAAATTGGATTTCGTATATCTACCATAATGGGCACAAAAATGACATGGATAAAACTAATCTGTTTAAATATCATCACTGTGTCAATACTTTTGTCCATTCAAATCGTGTATATAAATATTCTTTGTAAGTTTTCAAAGCCAAAAATACATAATATTTTTATTCAGTGTTATTATGTGATGAATAACATCTAACTATTATGTGAAAATTTCAGTGCTACAAGTTTTTTTTTATTATTAAATTTATTATAAGAAAATTTAAAAATTGATTGTGCACCAATACTTTTGTCCATCACTGTATATTCACCATTGTATTCTCCTAGACACAATACTTTTAAAAGTTGGCTTTATTAATGGTTATTCTTGTACATAAAAAAATACTGTGTATATGTTTGCCTTGCATGCATGCATGTATGAAGTATGTATGTATGTGTGAGGCCTGGAAATAGCGTTAACAAAGAGAAAAAAAAATGCAAAAATTTTTTTTGTTGAATTTTTCCATCCGATGACTGGATTATTATTAAATAAATCAAAGACAAGTCTGTCCAAGAGGGATCTTCATTTATTTTGCATTCCAGACTACACATACACATATGTGTAGTCTGGAATGCAAAATAAATGAAGATCTCTCTTGGACAGACTTATCTGATTTATTTAAAAATGTAAAATTTGTTAAGATCAACAGTAACAGACTGCCTTTCTGGAAAGAGAAAAGCAGTCTGGCCGAGTGCTCAAACTACTGTCCGAACAGACTTCTTTCGCAAACTATGAAGTTGTTTGAGCATGTCTTAGACCATCGGATCTGCGACCTCCTCAAGCTCACTGCAAACCAGGATGCGGCTAACATGCTACACCATGACCTGCAAACTGTGGACCTACACCCAGACCAAGCCCATGATTGGGTCAAATGGAGATTCAAAATAAAATCCAGGTGTGCTGGACCCTGCTGTTAAGTGGGACTAAAGCCAAAGAAGAAGTAAGCAAGTTAAGATTGACAGTAAAGAAAACAAGTTGTAAAAGTGTCAAATTAGCAACACAGGACTTTGACATCAATGCTCATAGAGAATAACAGGAAAAGCAAAATTTTGATTAAAGAAAATTTAAAATTTAAAACATTAAGACGCAGTTTAGAAAGCAAAACGAAACTAGAAAAATATCAGGATGAGCATGGGTGATATAATCATAGATTACACACGACCAGAGTCTAAGGGAAGGTGTCGAATAGATCAGCTATAGCCAACCTTTCCTGCGACTGACATGGAGCTCCATTTACACCTGGAGACAGATGGAAGACCAATTAGAAAGCGCGGAAGAAAAGTCCATCCAATTAGCGACGATTTGATCATGAAAAACTTATAAAAAAACTCCAACATCAAGTCTCATGGCCTCCTCTAGTCTACTTGTGGTGTTCGTTCACTCACTGCTCATCCTTTTTTTTTTTTTTTTTGGTGCTGTTTCTCCCGACTAAGAACATTAAAGTGTTGCTGCTCTGGAGCCCTGTCAGCATTGGAACGAAAGGAAAGGAACTTCTGAAGACAACTCACAGAACTCTGAACCCAGGATCTTGATAATTTTATGTAAGCATATTTGTCAAAAATAAACTGTTTCTTTGTGAAACACTTGTCTTTCCTGCCTCCTCAAAACTGCCACCCACATACGAATAGACCTTAAGCCATCCTGACGGTAGTGAATAAAAACTCTCCTCCCCCAATTGGCAAACTTACAGTGGTGTCCGAGAAGTGAGATTTTAAGTCCCCAAACTCCACCAGGTCGGCGAGCATACGTACGTACGTATGTGCATGCTTTTGTGAAAATGTTAACATTTCACAGCCACAACATTTCACAGCTGCATATTCACTTCCTATCAGTCCTCTGCAGATTTATAAAATCGTTTTTAACTAATCATAAAATAAAGAACATATATGTAAATTGGACTGGATTTATATACAAACTGGCATAAAAGTGTTTGGATTATAATCAAATCTTGTTATTGGAAGAATCTCTCTCTTACCATAGACCATCTAGTTGATTATTACTATTCTTATAATGTTAATTATTTTCATCCAGCACAAGAATGTGTATTTTAATAAAGAATTTTTTTTTGATTACATTAAAAATATATTTAATTTTACAAATCTTATAAGATTATCTGTCATATAACATACAATGTAAACAACAGATTTAATAATGAAGATTGGGACAAATGGCATCAGTTAGATTCCAATTATAAATTTGAATAAGAATTTGATTGTAATTCATATAATGAAACATTTTTAAAAATATCTTTTTTTTTTTCTTAACAGGAGATTACATCTTCATTCATATTTTTATATAAAGATCATTAAAACTGGTTACAATTTGCAAAAATTACAAAATAATTATATATATTATTATATCCTGAGTTGCAAAATAAAGAAAAATCAAAAAGTTTTTACAACAAATAGTTTCTTCATATTGATTTCAATAAAAATAAAAGAAAAGATCAAACTAATTACAAATTTGATTTTCATTACACTAATTTTCTTTTTATAAAATCGTTTTTAACTAATCAGTTTATATTAGTTTTATATTCATAAATTAATCAAATATGATTTTTGTCAATAAAATCTTCTAAAAATTTCATATCTTAGATGATGTATAATAAATTTAAAATTAATATTACTTGATATTTAACACGATAAATTATAGTAATCAGTCAAAATTCATAATATATGTTCTTGTTTTTTACAAATATATTTATATCAAATTTAGTTTATTACTAAGTATTTTAAGTTAGACCTGTAGTTTTAGCTGCATATTCACTTCCTATCAGTCCTCTGCAGATCAAGCTAAACTCACTAACAGTTTCCTTTAATTTCCTTTTATTGCTTCTTTCTCTGCAATAAAAAAATATCATCATTTAAAAAATTTATTTCATGATATTTAAAAAAATTTAATTTCGTTTTTCTTTTAATAAATTAATAATTTTAAAATATTTATACTTGAAATAATATTTGAAAGTTTCTTTGTTTTTATATTTTAACTGATATGCAAGTTTGTTGAGATCAATATGAAAATACAGTAGAGCGTCGATTTTCCGAAAGTCAATCATCCGAAACGTCAATCATCCGAAAGATTTCCAGTTGGCAAATTTAAATTTTCGCCAGTGCTGTGGAGATTCAATCTTTGGCTATGTCTTGGGCTACTCAAATATTTTATGTTTTTGATACTAAATTAACTTCTGAAGTATAATTTTGTATTGTTTTTATATTTTTCAATATATTTATTTTGTTTCTACAAAATAAAAAAATAGTTTTTAACGATACAATAGTCTTTGTTAGGCTTAACATCGGCAAAAATTCAACGCAAAGCGACACGCAACGGAGAAAAATTTCAACATCGGATACGTTAAATTATTTTTTCGTACATAAATCGGTTATCCGAAATATCAGTTATACGAACAACCCCAGTCCCCAATTGATTCGGAAAATTGACGCTCTACTGTATATGCATATATATAAAATAACTGTAAATGGACATGTATGCTATGCTGATGTAAGAATCAAAATGGAAATTATACAATTAATATAATTAATTATGGAGTTTAATACAACAAGCTAGAAACTGACCCTAATCTAAATTGGAGACCTTTCCTTAAAAAGGGGGACTAACCAATTTTTTTTTTTTTTGATGAAAAGAACGAGGGAGTAAAATTACTACTCCCTCCAAATTGTTATTTAATTACCCTGAGAAAATTAATGTCTCTTCTTCTACATGTAGTTTACACTAATGGAAACCACATTTGTCACTTTTGTATGAAAGGGGGAAATTGAACTTCCCTTTCTCCTGTTCCTATTGCTAATCTTGACAACCATTTGGATATTTACTGCTCTTCACATCCTGTTTACAAACAAAAATCCAGGATTCCTATTGGTTTAAAAGTTTGATAAAAAGAGCGATTTTCCCTGATTTGGGAGTTCTCCAAAATTTTCTCTAGTGCTCCAAACCCTGACTCTCTCGAAGGAAGATTAGGAAGATTTACTCTGTGTGCCCAACAGTTTCCACTTTGATCTTCATCCTCCTCCACAATCATCATTTGCTACCGAAAGCTGCCGTCCTTTCCTGAAGTAGAAGACTGCTATCCCAATCTACTATCGAGGTAGTATAAGTTTTATTTAATGTAAACTCTCTCTCACGCAGTTAAATAGGGATCTAATACCTCTTGTGTCGATTTTGTTCTCAGTTATATTTTATCTCTAATAAATTTTTGTTTTGTTGATTTGAATAATGGTCTTGTTAATAAGTTCAACTCCACACCAATATCTTATCACAGATCTACAATTCCTCCTTCTCAGAAAAGTGTATTAATTTATTCATTAGCATGCCTAATGCTCTAATTAGGCTGGTGTCAGGAAAAACAAACAGGTAGTTCCTATGAACTCTGTTTCCAAATTTTACAATACTAAAAACCCATCCTAGTGACACTGTGGGGGCAGATCTTTCCAGTCTGACACCAAACCAGTAAGAAAAGGTGTTTCTTACCCACCAGATTCTCACACTGTAATTCATTTTAAAAAAGTATACCATGTGAAAACAGTATCTTTTAGATAAAAAGGAACTGAATAAGAAATTTTAAATAAAATATTAAATTAATATAAAATTAAAAAATACCATCATAACTCAATTGATAACTTCCTACTAATCAAAAATGAAAATAGTTTTGGAACTAAACTTTTCTTCTCTCTCTTTGCTCTTCAACCCAAGGATTGGTGGGCACATCAAGTCCATCATTCATATCTATTTAGTGCCAGTTGCTTAATCTAGCTGTAATGTGTTCTATCTTTTACTATATCTTCTCTATCATTTTCTCAAATATCATCATCCATTCTAAATATCTTAATAGATGTCCTATCTTGTTGTTTCTTTGTTTATTTATAGTGTTAAGAATGCTTCTGGTTTCTCTTGTTCTCTCTTAAAGCTGCAGATTGGACAATTTTTCAGTCCTAGCTACCTTCTACCTTCACCTCCAGCACCACATTTCAAAGGCTGGTAGTTTTGCCTTTTTTCCCCCTCCATGTCCAAGTTTCAGAACTGTACAAGGTCATCCTCAAAACTTTTGAAGAGATTTTTCTTCATACCAACAGAGTTGTTCTGTGACTTTAGCATTCCTTTTATTCTGTAGAACACTTCTGTGACAAATATCTACAAATAGCTGCTTATAAATGTCTGGATTGGAGTTATTTAGATACATCTGCTTTAAGTTAGTATGAAGCAAAATGGAAGAAACTGACAAGGATAGAATAGTATAAATCTCAAACTGCAATATGGGCATACTTTGTATCCAAGTTAATTGGATACAAAGTTAAAGTGTGTCTACATTCATACCCTAACATTAGACATACAATATACAAGAAACAACTAATGTTTTCAGATTTGGTTTCAGCAAAACCATAAGATTTCTGACAGACTGAGAATTTCTCAGTTACAATTAGCTTTTTAAATTATACTAGGAGCATTCTGTATCATATTTAAATAAAATAAAAAATATTAAAAAGGTACTGTAATTTCACATGAATAACCTGCTTGTTAGTCATGTTTGAAAGCAAATTTCAAACTAGGTGGTTATAACCTATAACTAATTTCAGCTTACAATTATGTACACTTTAGCCTTACTATGAATGTCTTTAAAAAGATGGAAGTCCTTTATGCATGGAAATATTTATCAAAAACTGCAGTTTTCATCAAATCATCAAAGGCACATATGTGCACACCTCACTTCTAGTTCATTGTATGTGTCAATCCATGCTTAACTGATATAATTATATATTCCTACTTGAATTTTCTCTTCCTCTATGTAATAATTCTAAGAAAACTATTTAGAAAATTGTGTAAAAGCAACTGTGAACTTTTGTTTATTTTAGCTCTCAACAACAAATAGTAGCTGAGCAATCAACTCTTAAATTCTTGCATCAAATCAAGTTAGCTACAAATATTCTTTTGAAAATATGTAGATTAACACCAGGAATTACAAAGATCAAAATTGTAAATAATAAAAATTCTGATGATATAAGGTTATCAGAGCTCAATGCCATTTACATGCAATATCTAGGCTTTGAAGACTATCAACAATCAAATAAAAGCCTAGCCTTTACATCGTAAAAATGCCATTTGGTTTTAAATCAATTTTTAACTTTATAAAAAAAAAACAAACAGATATCTCTCTTTAGAATTTCTCTCTATTAGAGAGAGAAGTGTTTCATTGAGAATTATTTCCAGTAGATTAATGAGAAAAGATTAAATTCTTCAAAACTAATGTATTTTACTCCACCTATTTGTTTTCAAAGGACTGTTTTTGTGATTTAATATAGGAGACATTAGTTCAAAATCTTGAAATAATAAAAGTTGCGTGATGTTCACAGATAAATTGAAATACAATAACATTGATTCTCAATATATTTGTACCAAAAACAAAAACCAACCAATTTTCATCTTTATAATAACTTAGTTTCTTAAATTTAAGAAACTAAGTTATTATAAAGATGAAAATTTATATATACATACATACATTTCCATCTATAATAATCTTCAATATATGTCCCAAATAGTAATAATCCTCAATATTTATCTTAATTAGTAATAATTCTCAAAAAATGTAAAGATACATGTAAAGATAATTAACCCATATATATGAATTAATTATCAAATTAGATGGTTGCATGTATTTCCACATATTTTGAGACATATCCCAACTATTGAAATATAAAATAAATAAAGATATAAAAGTTTGTGAAAATAAGTGTACAGATTTAAATACGTCTTGGATTCAGATGCATGTACAGTATGAGAGTAGAATTTTACTGCTGTCACAACCTTTTCCTAGTCTAGCCAGGTTCTGAGTGACCAAAAATGCAATTGGACAACAAAGACACAATCTGAAGCTTATCCTCAATGCCAAAGATGGTCTCAGTTTCAACATAGGACATGGGATAACAGACAAAAGTATGAAGAGAATAGTGTTTGATATGGGATATGTCAGTGAGAAGACAAAAGTATGCACCAAAAATGAAATCTGTCAAAAATGGAGGCAACAGCAGCAATTGTCCACTCTTTTTGAAGGCACTATAGATGTAATCATGGACAACAAGAGTTATTACCCTTTCCTGTCAGCTCATCCTATACTAATGAAAAGAAAAGATTGCACTGCAAAGCAAAATCTGGACAAAAGTTGCTGGTCTGGCTTACAATTGGACCAAAAGGACCAACAAAGCCATATTGTATGAAGTCAAAAAGACCCAAAAGCCAAAATACATAACTGATTGCATTAAGACAAGACTGATTTCTTATATCCAAAAATACTACCCAAACAACAAAGGATATATTTTTGACTTTATCCAACTACTGCTCACTACACTTCAGACGCTAGTAAACATGAGTCAATCATCAATTTTATGCCCAAAGAAAACATTTCTCCAAACACATTCCAATTCTGACCAATTGAACAATTCTGGGCTTATCATTGGTCTATGCTAATAGATGGCATACAAAATCAAGCCAGAGATTGATTAATAAAAAGAAGAGTACAATTCAATTCTCTTGGCAAATTTATTAAGAAACACCAGATTCTAATCAATAAAAAATAAATATATTGAAAACCCTTTTGGATGTTTTTTTTCTTTTTTGTACATTGCTCTACTTTCATATATTTCAACTTTCATACACATTTCAGGAACCAATTAGGAACAAAAGTAGAGGATCATCTGTATTATACTTTTACAATTTTACATTAACTTCTGAATTATATTACATTAGAAGTGTGCATTTTTTTCCAAATATCTTATTTCAGAAACAAATTTTTATTGATTATATAATATCGGTTTGTAATGTATCATTAATTGAGATTTCTTTGAAACTGAAAATTTTATGTATGAATGGGTTGGTATAGCAAATCAACTTTTTACTTGATGAATATTTATTGCATGGTATGAAAAGCCGTAAGCATGATCACACTGACTAACGAGATTCTAAATTTCTGTTCAGGATACTTTTATCAATTTATATTCAATTTCCATAAATATTTAACAAACACTGTTATACAAGTTTTGCATTATTTATCAAATTTTTATCTTTCTTTCTACCAAATTTCACTAAAATCTATCAATTAGTTCATAGATATTTTAAATTCTATGGATTAATGTTTGTTTATCTGTGACAATGATTCATTGTATGTGTTGAAGAAATTATTTTCCATCTACAGTTGTATATGTTTAAACCAACATATAAATTTTTTACACTGATTCAAGCAAAATCTTACCTTAATACCATACGAGTAAAATGTTCTTTTTGGACAGGAGATACATGTTGAGAAGGAAAATCTTGTTGCTGTAAGAAAGTTGACATCCAGCGACACAAGTTATCAAAATACTTTTTATTTAAAGCCATTAATATATCAGGCATATGTTCTACCATTGATCTGGGTGCTTCCCCACCAATCACCTATTTATTTAATTTAAAAAAATTGTTTAAACAAATAAAATTGTTTAGAAAAATAATTATTAGTAAACATAGTATATACTTTTAACACTTGTCCAACTAGAAATTCACCATGATTATTTACAACATTCAGCATAGCTGATACTTCTCTGCTACGATTAATAAATTCAGCCTAATAGAAAAAAAATTATGAAGATTATAAAACACTTGAAAGACCTGACTACTTTAGAAATCAAAAGTATACATATCATAAAAGTATTAGTGTATACACACACACACACACAATATGAGGAATTATACAATCATTGCCATAAAACTAGCACATCAAGGAGTTGTTGTCATATCACTACAAAAGTTGGCATGCAATAACTCTCAAGCAGATATGGAAATGATTAGTTATAGTGTAATGGCTCATCACATAATGCCAGCAGAGGTTAAAGTGCATACCCCTTGACCTATAAGAAAAATGTATTAAAGGCATCCTGTCTGTAATTTACCTGTTGCAGAGGGATGCTGTGTCACTAGAGATGCCTTTCATTGCAATCAAAGACCATATGAAGAACTAACCAAGTTTGAGAGTGGAAGGATCATTGGGTTGAGAAAAGCTGGATGGTCATCATGCAAATAGCCCACCACCTAGACCATTCTGACAATACTGTGAGGTGGTGTTGGGACAGCGGACAAGAGAGAGCTTGCAAACACCATGCCAAGGCTTAAGATTCCCTCATTAGACCACCAGCTGAGAGGACCACCTGGACCTCTGACAAGCATGTACATAGCCAACCATATCATTGTCTACCATCTAAACACAGGTGGTGCCATCATTACAGGCCCATGTCTGTCTGTACCATTTTGAGGCACCTGGGTGAAGAACATTTTGTATTGCAGCAGCCATTACATGTGCTACCATTGACACCACCTACCATTGCCTCTGTTTGGAGTGGTATCGCTTCTGATGGAATTTGATTGCAACAGAATGAAACCAGGTTGTCTACAGTGACGAATCCACATTCAGTTTGATTTGTTTGTGGCCTTGTTTGTGTATGGAGGCCTTGTGATAAATGCCTCAATCCTGCCTATGCTATATAGCATCACACCACCCCATAGCTGTTGTGATGGTTAGGAATGCCATCACATATGACATGACAGCTGTGGTAGTTCTCTAGTAGTGATCCAAGGAACCATGATAGTAGAGTGGTATGTTAGTGACATCCTGCAGCCATGTGTTGCATCTAGTGGTAGGTCTCTCAAAAGCCAACAGGACAATGCTTGACCACACACAGCAAAGGTGTAGATTTGTCACTGATTGAACATGTCTTGGATCACCTGGATGCCAAGTTAGACAGTCTAAGAGTTCAGCCAAACTGGAAGATAGCTTTCAGCCACTGTAGACTGAGATGCCATAGGACACCATACTACACCAATATGCCTCCATGCCCATCCACATCACATTGTATATTCATGCTAAAAATGGCCAACAGGGTCTTTCATTTGTAGTTTTTCCTGCAATAAATAATTCTTTTGCTTTCATTTTATAATCATTTATATCACTGTTACATTCACACATGTACAATTTTGTTCGATTCCAACAACTCCTTGATGTGCTAATTTTTATGGCAATGAGTGTATTATACATTGTTAGTATGATTTGAACATACATCAATGAAGCAATTTAATTTGTGAAACTTCTAATGATGGATATTAACTATATCATTAACTAATATAAAAGATAATGTAATTTAATTATTATTTAATCATATACAGGTATTCTCATACAATATGGTATTTGCACAACATGGTTTTGCTCTAACATAGTTTGAGAATTGGAAAAATCCCCCATACAAAATGTCACAATTTTTAAGTGCAAACACCTCAAGTTGATACTTCTTCTTTCTCTTTCCATAATTTTAACAGTCCACAATGAGAAAAAGATTAAAAACATTGCTCTAAATGAATAAATGAAAGCTGTGTTTTATTTCTATCAATTAAATTAAAAGTTATTACATAAAAAGTTTAAATATTTTAAGATCTCTTAGGCAAACACAAGCAAATGAAAATATCAGATTTTATGAAAAAAGTAGTGAAAAATCAACATGTTGATATTCAGATTAAGGTCAACAGGAAAACTCAGAAGAGAACAATATTTTACCAAAAAGAATAACGTCTTCTATGAATATATGTCTCTTTAATCAGAAATTAAGTTTGGTAGACTATCATTACAGCTTTAAGGTTAGACACTTCTTTTACTGTTTTCACATATGCATTTTGGGCTTATATAAAAGCTAAGCCCCTCTTCAGTGCAATACTACAAATTATTAAAAAAAACAACAATTAGTAACATGACAAAATTTCTCGCGTGTAGGTCATATTTACTGACATAAAACTATCATACTTAAAAATTGTCGCACTTATATGATACGTACGGTTCTGTCTTCTAAAACCATGGTGTATAACGGGTAACATTGGAAAGATTTTTTAATACAGCCATTAAAAACACCAAAAATACACTTTCCAAACATTCATACGGAAAACCTAATATATTAATAGTTTTACAATTTTTTCCTCCATAACATCACATATTCCAATAAAACAATAATATAATATGATACATACTCACTTTTATATTTTTCAACATGTGCTCATAAAATCTTATATAAGTACAACTTTTAAAGAATGTGTATTTTATACAACATAACATTGCAGTAACTGTAATTATCATTGTTTTACAGGTTAATTACAAGCAGTATAGTAATATTAAAATAATTTTCAAGAGAATACATACATAATTTCACAATATATTTTCATTTGTGAGATCCGGAATTTTTACCGATTATTTGCCGATTAACTGTCCCGTATTTGCCTAAAAATCTAATTAAATTTTCCTTTAACCTAAAGTGAAACCTAACAGGAAAAAAATTTTTTCCTTCCTGCTGAAGTAAACATCCATTCATTTCGAAACTAATCCCACATTCCAACTGCTAAGTTGATAGTTAGCATGGTCCTGGGGACAACTTTGACCCATTTGCGTACCTTTTACCTCACAACAATCGGTCACGTGACCGTTCTCCCACGACAAACTTATAAAAACCCCTTCCTTCCCCTTCTCGGGTGAGTCGTTCATCAGCAGCCAACCAAAAGTTTCCTCAAAGTTTTCTACAACTAATATATCCGATAATATATGTGTCTTAGGAATTCAGTGCACCTGGATCTCCAAATCAATTTTCCTCTTGGATAAGAAAAGAAACCATAAAGAGGTATGGAACAAGTTTTTGTGAACTCTCTCTCGGCCCTTTGCGGTTTAGGGACTCCTAAAATTTCCTTGACATTTGTAATTGTAATATCCATGCAGCTAATAAATCGTTGTTTTTTTGTTAAATTTTGCCTCCTCGTTTGCTCGTATATCGCCTGTCGTCATACTGACGCACTCCTCCCTCTGCCACTCGACCCGAAACAGTTAATCCCATAAAAACGGAAAAAGAAAAATTTAATCCATCCTGACAGTGAGAAGGTTGAACAACCTGTTGCCAAAGCGGGAGACCTACCCCCTCCCCGGTGGTTCACAAATTGGTGTCAGGAGTGGGGTCAGTCTCCCGCTCCGGCAACAGGTTGTTAAGTTTATGTGCTATTTGAGTAGAGTCGCCTCGGGGAGTGATTTTTCGGGAAGTGCTTGGTTGGGGGTCGTGTTTCTGTTTATTTTCCCATCTCCCTCAACGAAAGAAAAAAATCAACAGAAACATGACCCCCAACCAAGCACTTCCCGAGAAATCACTCCCCGAGACGACTCTACCCAAATAGCACATAAACTTATTGTTCAAAGCTATTAAGTCCTTGCTCGACACTCGACAACCACCATTTTATTTTTTTTTCCCGTTGTTTGGCGTTCCGAATTTATATTTTTCCAACGAACGGAATCATTTCTATATATTTCAAATTTTTTCCTAAATTTATATATCTATATATCCTAAATTTAGAATTTTAAAATCTGAGAGAGAGTAAAATTAACCATTTTCTAATACAACACTGTGTATGACAAATACATCATAACATGTATTTTTGGTGTTTTTAATGGCTGTATTAAAAAATCTTTCCAATGTTACCCGTTATACACCGTGGTTTTAGAAGACAGAACCATATGTATCATATAAGTGTGACAATTTTTAAGTATGATAGTTTTATGTCAGTAAATATGACCTACACGCGAGAAATTTTGTCATGTTACTAATTGTTGTTTTTTTTAATAATTTGTAGTATTGCACTGAAGAGGGGCTTAGCTTTTATATAAGCCCAAAATGCATATGTGAAAACAATAAAAGAAGTGTCTAACCTGAAAGCTGTAATGATAGTCTACCAAACTTAATTTCGGATTAAAGAGACATACATTCATAGTACGTAATAACAGCTACCATAAGTGATATTTAGAATAACGTCTTCATTTAACAGTGTTTAGCAGTGAAGAAAAAAATTTATATTAACATGCAATATTTTTGATTGTGAATGTTAGTTAATTATTAATTGCTTTAATAAACATGCCTCTCTTAATTATGAAAAATAATAGTATAATTCTGCTAACTTTTGGAACCTATGTTTTGTACAGCATTGGATTTGCATTACATGGCACTTTTTCGGAATGTACTGTACCTATTGTGTTATATAGGGATATTTGTAGTTGTTTTGTTTTCATAAAAATAATCAAAACTATTGGTTAACAAAAATAGAAAAATGTTTAATATTACATAAAATGTTTTCATTTTATATTCCTCTTTAAAATACTCAATCAGAATATATTCTTTTTGAAATAAAATTAATTTAATTGTTAATATAGTAATCTATACATTAATAGAAAACTTTTATACTAAAAGAAAATTTTATCATCTAAGATTTTTAAATGATGATTAAACACTTACAATAAATGAAGAAGCTGCTTTAACTGTTGGTTTCTCTGGTAAACACAATGCAACTATACCTATAAAATAACAAGTAAAATGAAATAATTTTGAATTAATATTGTTATAAACTATTACAACATATTTATTTCACTTAATGTTATTTTTAAATTCACATTACATATTTATGTAAATTATATTAAATTTCTACATAATAAAACCATTAAGTCATTAAAATTCATTAAATAAAAATTATCATTATACAAACTGTCATTGATATAGATATGTATGTAACATCATATATATTTATTGAATAATATGAGGGTTATACTGAAACTAATACAAAAGTATGCAAAATATTTTTTATTTACTGACAGTCTCTGTCAGTAAATAAAAAATATCTGTTCAAATTGTACTTGTTGGTAGAGTAACTCTCCTTTATACAAAGCTATTACTTAATATAGTCTCCATTACAAGCAATGCATGTATGTCATCATTAAATCCAACTCTGGATTACTCTTTGAAAAAATTCAGGAGTGCACTTATACACAGCCACTTTCACCTCATCTATGTTCATTAAATGTTTGTGAAGACTAATCCATTGGAGTAAATAGATGAAAGTCTATTCACTACTATCTATATCAAATGCAAAGTTCAGTGTTCCCATATCAAGTAGAACCTTTGTATATAGGAAAAGTTACTCTACTAATAAGTGCAGTTTGAATGACCTATGTTAGTAGATAAAGTTATGCCCACTTTTGCATTAGTTTCAGTACAACCCTCATATGCAGGGTTGCACTGAAACTGATATTCAGGGTCATTCAAAAAAAACATACCAGAGGATGCTTCCACACACAGCACTTATGCATGTATCAATACAATATAGCTGCTGTCAGAGAAACATGTAATTAATTTACAGTATAAATCATGTAATCATCAAAATGTACCATACAGTTAATTATTATTACTTAATAAATGAATAACTTAGAAAACTATATTATTTAATCTTTTATTACAATGTAACACACAAATTATGATATGATATGTACTGTACTATGCATGGAAGCACCTTCTAGTGCATTATTTTTGAACAACCCTGTGTATCTATGTGTGTGTGTGTATTGTACAGCTACATGGAGGAAGTTTGAGTATTACATAAACATTTAAAAAGAGAAAGGAATGAGTGGAAGGAAAAACCACATACACAGAGAAGGAGATCAAGTTGGTGCTTATGTAAAATATGTTTGAACCGTTTTGGAATATATTCAAATTGTTAAGACACTTTTTATAAATTTAATTTAGTTGAAATTAATCATAAATTATAATCATTAGTCTAATTATTCTAGTCTATATTAGTTTAATCATAAATTATAATCATTAGTCTAATTATTGATTATTTAACTTAACTTTTTTTTGACTAAACTAGTTATTTAACTAATTAGCTTATATTATTATTGATTTGTAAACTGTTCAAATAAAAATTATGATTAAGCATAAATTAATATCATGAATATTCTGAATATCAGGAAAACTAAAAAATGTTGAAAGATTTGAAAAATTGATAACTGATTGTTATATATATATANAGGTACTGACTGGTTATCACTATCAAACAAATACTAGATAATTCAAGGAGAAGCTTGATATTTTTTATTATTCTTTCTAAAATAAATATAAAAATATTCAGTAAAACCTGTTTAAACCGAAATCGCACAATACTGAATGTTTTTTTGGTTTGACAGGTTCCGTTTTGAACAGGTTTCTTTAATAGAAAATCGAGGAATTTTCTCCATTCGGGTAGGTTGCATTTTATTCAATTTCCGTATTGTACGGGTTTTAATATACACAAAAATTGAAATTATTCAGTAGTAAATGAAATATTTTTCTTAAAAATTAAGAAAATTGTAATGTTAAACGTGCGACAATTTTACAAAATGATGTTTACATCGAGGGTTTGTTACGTATTATCAAAATTTCTTTTGATTTCAATAACTTATGGTAACATGAAAATTTAAAAATTACAGAATATCTTCATAGTGAATTGATAATGTTCAATCAAATAATAATCATTTTGTTAAATGTTAGTCAATTTTATGATTGACTTGAAAATAGGAGAAAAACTAAAATTATGAAGTGAAGCTGATAATGATAATAAAAATAATTCTATCTATGAATATTTTTAATTTCTGTAGCAAAATATAAAGTAAATATAACTAATATTTCAAGCTATATTGTTTCTGAACAGTGTATATCATATTCATTTCCATTCAAATGATACATGAAAGAAAGTGTTAGATGATAGGAATGATGAACTTAAGACACATGAATAAACTTATACAATATTAATCCTAAAAGTTACTTTTAAAAATAAATTGAATATATTTAACAAGATTTGTTAACTTTGTTTGCATAAATTCATACTAATAAAGCTAAAAATGTTACAGTTAAGTGATGTTTTGATAAATCATGACCATAAAAGCATGAGATATCAAATTCAAATGTCTGACATCATCAGTGCAAAAGTTTACTATAGAATGTGAAATACAGTCACTTTTTAATGATCAATAACTCACAACGATAGAAATGCCACTGAGAAAAAGGGGGCCATTGGTAGCAGTGGGAGGTGGATGGGCATTTCCCTTCCACTCTTGCTTCCAATATAATGTCATTGCTCCAATTTTAAGTTTCAAATTTGCCAAATAATAAATGCCAAATTTGGCACTTATTTGGTTGTAGTGTTGTTGATGATAGTTTGTTTAATGTGTATCATTTTATTATTTTAACAGTGTCTTTTATTCATAATACTTATAACAGTTGGCTGGATTGTAACGTTGTGTAATGTTTTACTGTTTTAATCATATTGCTAGACATTGTTCCAATATACTTAATTAAATACCTAATGGTTGGATCTGTAATCAATAATTTACCAAATGTTGAGATTTCATTGTACATTTTAGGGTTGAAAAATGTGTCAATTTTGTGAAGTTTTGTAAAGAAGCTGATGAGGGACTGTAGATCTGAAATGCATTCATTTTTGGAAAATAATTGATGTTCTAAGGCTGATCTTGTGTCTGAGACAGTGTAACAAGTCTAGGAATAAAGAGGCCATCATAATGTTTACAAGTTTCTCTGAGTTTCTTCTTTTCGTATATTTTGAAATCCTGTCAACATTGCTTGAGCTAATTCAACTTCCTCAAAATTTTTGTTTTTCAATGCTTTCTTGAACCAATCAGTTGCCAATTCTAACATTTTCCCATCAGTAACATGCTTTTTTTCCTATTCTTTTCTGATTTCTTTTTAACTTTTGCTCATCCTTTTTCAGGCTTTTCTGTTCAATTTGGGTTTGCAATTTTGACTGCGTAATCTGTTTTTCTTTCTCTTCTTTTCCCTTCTGCTTCTCATCTTCATTTTGTTTCTTCTCATCAAGATAGATCTGATAATTTGTTTATGCTAGCTGAGCTAAAGAAAGCAAATTTTTTGTGATTGATACCAAGATTGGATTGTTTCTGTACAATTTCAAGATATCTTTGACAATCATGAGGGCATTCACATTTCTTTCTGACAAGCAAGATCAATCATTTGTTAAAAACTTGTTGAATATAGAGAAATTCCTCACAACGTCTGCATTTCCATGTGCTAATGCTAAAGATGCCTTGATTAACGTGGAAACTTCAAGTCACTAGAAGAAGAATACAGGTAGCCCTCGGTTTACGCTGGTTCAATTTACGCCAATTCACAATAACACCGCTGTGCAATTTGCCGTTTCGAGGTGTAATTCCCCAATTTTCCCTATGATAGACTGATTTTCATTTCAGTGTTGACGTATTTACCGAGCCGCGACAATGTACATTTGTTAAATCAAAGATTTTTATTAAATATATTTATTTTTTCTGTTTAATATTATTGGATATGTATACATTTGCATTAAATTAATATTAAAATACTAAACATTTAGGTACCCACGAGTCAAGATATTAAACTTAATAGTCCAATAAATGGCGTCCGAATCCATAGCGCCAATGAATGTATCCCATATCAGTTCGTTCAGGAAAACACCTTACAATGCAATAGCACTTCCAGTGATCACAGATTATCGTTAGTGAGACAAATCTATTTATCGTTGGCCAGACGATATTTATCTCTCCGTAGCCACCTTGAATTTTCCCACTCAAACTGACCTTATATATGCGCTACGGGGCGACCGGTGGTTGACCAATCAGTGTCTTCGCTCGTCCGTAGCTCTAGGTCGGGTTAACGTATCCTTTCAACTAAGGAAAGTTTGACGAATGAAGTTTGTGAATTAGACAATGTTGGGAGCGAAGTGCAAATGTAAAAAGGAGCATCATATTCAATCATATTCTGAAATTCTTAATGAAAGAAATCAAAAATGTAAACAATTAAAGATGGATACTTTTTCCAAAAAATGTAAGAAATTCAAAACTAAAATTTTTAAATAAAACATTTTACTTTATTTTATGATAAAATACATTTTAAAAATTAAAAATTTATATGTATTTTGTATTATATTGTATTAATAAACAAAATTATTAGCTTATTTTTCACTTATGTTTTATAACCTAACCCTATACCTCACAGTAAATATGGGTTCGTTTTATGCCAATTCAATTTGCGCCAGCTTTTGTAGGAACGGAACTGCGGCGTAAACCGAGGGCTACCTGTATTTTGAAATACAGTCGACCCCCGTATAAGATCATTGATTATTCCGTTTTATATGAATTCCATGTTGTACAAGTCACTTAAATTTTACAAATACGTGAGCCGTTTACAGCCCGGTACACGTATTTGTAAAATCTAAGTGACTCGTACAACATGGAATTCATATAAAACGGAATAATCAATGATCTTATACGGGGGTCGACTGTATAATGACTCCTGTAATTATCAATGGCCACTCCCTCTCTTCTCTGACTCTTATAATCTTCTTCAAGTTGTAGAAGCTTCCATTCATTAACTAAAATATCTGTTGGTAATATTGGTAATTTTAATTACAGTGGTGCCTCGTATAACGTACGCCTCGAATAACGGACTTTCTGTTTGGCCGTTACGTGACTCGAGCAATGGACTGGCTGCAAACAACAAACTTTCCGTTTGGCAGTTACATGAGGTGAACAACTGACTTTCTGTGAACAAGTGCGAATGATGTTTCCACTCTTTTGCCGTTGCCAATGACAATCTGCTATTTATATAATATATTGTATCTTTCTGGTACAACTTTGTATTTAAAACATAAAACTTTACTAATAAAATGAAGTTTTTAGCATAGACTTAAAAGAAAGTGATTTTGTTAAAACAGATTAAAAATGTTCACAATTCAACAATCAGAGTTCTGGTTCCCTGCCAATACATGCATAAGCTGGCCTTCCTTTCAGGGCAGTCACTTCACAAAGGTCACGCCAAACAGTTGGCACATATTGTTCTACTTGTGAACATTTTTAATCTGTTTTAACAAAATCCTTTATAGTTTCAAATTTGATGCTTTGCACAACTTTGCACACTCTCCCCAGTAAGATGCATAAAAGAATTCTTATTTCATTATAAATTAAATGGATTAATGGCTGTTCTTTCTGAAATGTTCCTATGAAACTTGTAAATACTTGCACACTAGAGCAGATAAAATACAATTCTGTTTTTATACCAGTCTTTTTTTAAAAGTGTGGCAGCTCCTTGATAGGAAGGAGTCACAAGGCCTGGTTTTTTCTGTGGAATGAAAAAGTAATATATAAGGGCTTTGCATTGCCAAAGAAGGCACCTGGCTGCATTCTCAATGGTCAAATCACTGTGCTGGTCAATGCATAATGAAATGCAACTTTGTCAAATTAAACTTAGCCTAAATTTCAGAAAAATTTTCCTATCTTGCTGGCCAATAACTGAAAAAACTTGTGTATCAACACTATTAGATCAAAACCATCTTCATCAAACTTTGAAAGATGTTTTTGAAATACATTGTATAAAATGTACACATTGCAAAATCCAATATTCACAAGTTTCTTCTGATGAACTGCAGTCATTTTATTCATGAGCTGATCATCTTATTTATGTTAGGTCCATCACTTCCCAGCATTAATAGCTTATATATTGACAAATTTGAATTTTCAAGTGCAATAAAGAGCTTTTTGAATATCTCATCTCCTGTAGTATGACCTTTAAAAAATGTTTCAAGATGATAACTTACAAACTTTGTTCTGTTTGTCAGACCAATATTGTAGATATGTTTGCAGTTCTTTTGATCCAGCAGCATTTGTGGTCTCATCATAACATATGGTATAATAAGCATCATCAATGTCTTTTTGCAATTGTTTTTTGAAATAGGGAGCCTAGGTATCTGTCACAGTACAGTAGACCCCCTATAACGCTTAGATACGTTCCACATTAATCGAATTTTACGTTGTAGGAATGATTAAATACATGAGCCAATCGCAGCCTGATAGGTGTGAAGTTTACGGACTAAGGCTGTTTGAAAGATTTACTTCTATAAAATTAACTGATTCTAGACTAATTCCACTCAACATTTCCAAAACATGTATAATTTTTTGGGAATAATCTGTATAAACTATGCTATAAACAAAAAATTATAGGATTACTTACCGAGTGTGCACCGTTCGACTACGCCGTTGCTCAAAGCTTGTTTTCGTTGCAGAACAGCACACGAAACGGCGACCGCGATTTCTGATAACGAATTTTTTGCAGAAAAATAACTTGACCTTTGGAGACATCATTAATATAAATAATTTTTATGGCCGTTGAATAAGAAATGTTTCTTTCACAAGAAATGTATAAAATTAGTGCTGTATTAGACTTACGGTACCTAATTTACATACTGTACAGACAATAATAAACTCAACTTACTAGCCTAAACTCTCCATAGCATGGCGCCAGGCGGTGGAAAGCATATATATATATAATTATAATAAAGTTACAATACAATAAGTTAATATATAATTATATATACAGTACCTAATTTATATATAATTATATGTACAGTACCTAATTTATATATAATACTGTACAGACGATAGCAAACTCAATTTAGCCGCTCTGTAGCCTGGCGCAGGGCGGAGGAAAGTAGTTCAGCAGCTCATCCACTATTGGTCCAGATTCTATCAATCTTGTCGCGAAACGAGTCGGCGACGACGTTTTAGGAGATCCTTTATACGAATGTTGCTACAATTTTTTCGCTACGTTATAGGAATTTCCGTTATAGGGGGGGAGACTGTATAGTGAAATTTCTTTTGGCTCATTGAACAAATTTCAAGAACTGATCCTGGAAACATTTTGCGGAACACGTGAAAAATTCCATCACACGAAGTTGCTGAAAAGTTACATGCAATTACTTTCAAAGCCCAAATCAGTTCAGCAGTTGATGCAGACACTTGTACATCATACAACCTAATTGCAGAAGCTGTTGATGATAAGATGGATGATTTGGAACATTTTTCTGCATCATATGCATCATCTAAAGTAAATGATGACCTATCAACATTGACAGGTCCAGAGTGAGGCATAATTGTTGCTATGATAATACTGTCCGACAAGACTCTTGATGTTTAAATATGTTGGCATGCTGGTTGAGAGCCTGGAAACCCTTAAAAGCCTGATAGACACCATTGCAACACACATTTTACAAAATACAGTTGACCCCCCCATAACACGGGTTCCTATAGTTCAAATTCCTATATGATGGTGAAAAAATTGCGACAGTATCCGTACAAACATTGTCAAAAAACTCCTATAATTCGGTAAAATGTCATCGCCGACTCGTGTCATGAAAGGATTGGTCGAATCTAGACCAATAGCGGATATTGCACAAACCGTTGAGTTTAAAAGAGCAGCGGACCTACTAAAAACCATTTTATTATTTAACGGCCATAAAAATTATATTTATATTAATGATGTCTCGAAAGTTCAGCAAATTTTTCACAGAAAAATAATTTATTAGGAAACACGCACCCGCTGTTCGATGCGCTGCTCCACAACGAAAACAAGCTTAAGCAATGGCGTCGTCGAACAGTGTACACTCGGTAAATAATCCTATAATTTTTTGTTTATAGCATAGTTTATATGGATTATTCCCAAAAAATTGTGTGTTTTGGAAATGCTGAGTCATATTAGTCTAGAATTGATTAATTTTATGGAAGAAAACCTTTCAAACAGCCATAGTCCATAAACTGCATACGTGCCGAGCTGTGATTGGTTCATGTATTTAAAAACTCTTACAACATGAATTTCATAAAACACAAAACGTATCTACCGTGTTATAGGGGGGTCTACTGTAATCACACATTTCATGAAAATAATATTTACTACACGGAATAATTATACTTGTAGTCAATTTAAACATACATTTAGGAATATATAGATGTGATTAAACGTCAACAGTATGCTATGAAATCATTAAAATAACTATTCTATTTAACTCAAGTTTATGAAATTATTTAAAAATAAATAAAGTAAAAAATATTCTTGTAAATGACAACTCCATAACCTGATTGTTAATTAAAACCAAATGATCTGCCAAATTATTGGGTTATAACAGTGGTTCCCAATTAGTGGTACGCGTATCCCTGGGGGTACGCAAAATTGCATAAAGGGGTACGCGCGGCAATCTAAAATCGGTCGATTTAAAATTTAAATGCATGAGATGAAGCAACCAAAAGAATAATGGGTGGACCATCAAAAATTCGGCAATTTACAACACGATGTCAAATGAACAAATTCGTTTATTTATAACTAAAAATATTTTCGAAATTTCATCAAAAAAATGCATTTGTGACAATACCTAAATGAAATTCTTACACAAGAAACAAAAATTGTACAATTAACACAATTTGTGTTAATTGTACAATTATCATTATCATCTTGTCAGCGAAGCAGCAATAAAATATTTACTACCATTTTGCACAACATACCTCTGCGAGAGCAGATTTTCAGCCGAGACAAATGTGAAAACTAAACATCGTCATTGACATCGACTCGAAGATGACTTGAGACTGAAGCTGACCAAAAAAGCAACCATATTTTACAAAGTCGTGCTAAGAAAATCGTGCACATTTGTCACATTAAAATTAAATAACCTTATGTTATTTTCATTATTATTAGAATTGTATTTTAAAGGTAATAAATGTAAAAAGACTTATTCTATTTATTACTAGCTGTCTACCCACAGCTTCGGCTGCATTATATCGAATTTTCTCGTGGGAGTAAGATATTTTCTCGCAGTAAAATGTAGCCTATGTCCATCTCCAACATGTAAGCTATCTGTGCCAAATTTTATTAAAACCTGTTTAGCAGTTTAGACGTGAAAAGGTAACAGACAGACAGAATTCCCTTCAAATTTATAATATTAGTATGGATTAATATAGATTTCTGCTATAAGGGGTACGCGAGTTTTAGCTCTTTATTGAAATGGTACATAGGAAAAACTAATTGGGAACCACTGGGTTATAACAAGGATAATTAAATGGTCAGAAACAAAATAATTTCTCTAGAGGTAGGAGGTTACGCCACTATCTTGTGTTAATTTTAATAATTATAATATTTAATTAAATTTAGAAGCAGCAGCAGTGTTGTCAGCTTGAGAGATTAATTCGTCTGCATAGTGTGTTTTCCCCTACAAAGGGATTTTAGGGATTTTTGTAGAAAACAGCCAAAAATGTAAGAATGCTTAGAATACTTATTTTTAATCTCAGTAGAAAGAAATGCAACTCTGAAGAACTAGATTTTGGCTAATAATGACAATACTGCACGAGTACATAACTTTACTCAACATTGGCTTCTGAATTTGTAATGAGAGGGATTTTTTTAAGTGCATGAAAGACTTTATACATATGGAAAGAAATTTTTGTTTCCTATAACATAACAACACTGAGCAGCAGTTGCAGTTTTGAGTCTTGCTCAGGGCCGAGTATTTTCTTCCAGAAAATTCCAGTCCGATAGTCTGCTAATTCAGCAGATCATTTAGCTTTAAAATTATTTTTGATTGCTCCCACATCTTAATTAAGTTCCTGAAAGTGACCAAAAAAGTGAGAAAAGTGAGCAAATGACCTGAAAGGTGAGGATACTTCAAAAAATGAGTACAAGTGAGAAAAGCAAATGACTTCAAGGCCTGTAATTATTAGATTTTCCATCATCCAAATATGATCCAATATGAATTTATATGCCTTTATATTTCTGAAGAGTTATTATTGTTTTTTTTTTATAAACAATTAACAAATCAAGTCTTACCTGAGTTAGCATTTCAAATAAAATTTCTACAACTGTTGTGTTTTCTCTTAGATCTGAAAATACATATTTTTAAAATATTGATTTATACTTCTCTGAATAGTAGAAAAAGATATTAACAACATATGCAAAGTTTTGAGTGCTTAGTAATATATGCTTGTATTTCAACATATATTATTATTATTTATGCAAAATATTTTATTTCTTGTTAATAATGATATATCTGCAATCAAGCATAAAGCAGTAGTTCTTATATATATTAAAAAATATGGAATATTTTATAACTGATCTTGAGTATCTAGATAATAAAAAAGATAACTTTGATAATGCAATTACATTTCTAAAAACTGAAAAAAGGTCATTTTAAAAAATTGCTTAACTGTATAAATAAATAATTATTTATTTATACAGTAAGATACCGCTTAACGCTCATTTGACATAACACAGTCTGCTCAAAGCCTAAAAAAAGCTCAAAATTCATGCTGATTTAAATTATCTTGGCATTTTATTGATGCATATATAATACAATTATTTACGAACATGAACCAATCAGAAAAGGCTGGCAAAAAGGTGTACTTTTTTAAATCTATGTTTGTTTGGAAAAAAAATATTATCATGGATGCCATAGGAAATATCAACTTTGCTTGGCAATAATTAACTGATAAATGCATGAATGAAGTGTGGAAGAAGTTATGGCTGAAAGTATCCAAAAATTCTCAACGAGAAGAGCATATTACTATATTGTTAGGTTGATCAAACTCAATCTAATTGATACAGCAGGACTAGGAGATGTAGACGAACAGAATATTAAGGAGTTACAGCAGGTTTCTGGTGAGAGCCTTACCAACGACGACCTTCAAGAACTGGCAGAACAAGAAATTCATGTGGAACTGGAAAACAGAGTTTCTGAAAATGAAGAACCCAAAGAACTTGTTACAGACTTCCTTAGTAAAATTTTGGTAAAATAACAAAAATTGTTGACCAAATTGTAACAAATGATCCAGAATTTGAAAGGAGTGCAAAAGCAAAACAAGGCATTTTGGACGCAATCTTCTGCTACCAACATTTGCTTAATTAATTTAAGGAAAGAAAAAAGTGACAAATAAAACTACAGGACTTTATCACAAAAAAACAAGAATTTCATAATCACACATCCTTACTACACCTGATACATTTAAAGCTATACATCAACAAAAGCCGAAAATAAATGGCTATAATACTAATAATTTAATAGACAATTTGGCATTACAGTTATGCGTTAGGTGCCATCTCTTGATAAATTTAATAATTATAAATTATTTAATTAATTTATAATTATTAAATTTATCAAGAGATGGTGCCTATTATAGCTGTTTCTAGCCCGATAATATTCAGGTTTGGTTGATGTACAAGAATTTCAGAAAAGCCAGGATCTTCCTCACAAAAAATAAACTTTGCATTTATGTGTGCATATGTTTTTGTGTTATTTAACATATATTATTATACAAATTAATATAAAAATAACTTAAAATTAAAGTAAAATTTGTTTATTTTTGGTTGCATGTTCACCTATCCCCTATTTACTCTATGTTAAAATGACCTTGTTTAATGCTATTTTGTTTAGTGCTTTGTTGTCTAGGAACACATTCCCTGTGTTAAGTGGGGTTTAACTGTACTTAATTTTTAAAATTTAAGGTAGAGGTTGCTAATATTAACTACATCATAATACCTAAGTAATTACCCAAATAATAGTCAGACACCATGCTCTTTGCTTTATAAGAAACTTTAAAATGAAAGTGAAAATACGAGATCTGTTCAAAAAATATGCAGACTGACATCATAAAACAAAATGTACCTTATGTAGAAGTTACATGTCTGGGTCTCCTTCAAAGTACATTCCTTCCTAACACACACACTTATCCCAATGGTGTTTCCACTTGTTGAAACAGTCCTGGTATGCTTCTTTTGTAATGTCTTTCAGTGCCTTCATTACATTTGCCTTAATCTCGGAAATTGTCTCAAATCTTCTTCCTTTCAAAGGTCTTTTGAATTTGGGGAACAAGAAAAAGTCACAAGGAGCAAGGTCAGGTGAGTAAGGGGTGGGGAAGAACAGTGATTGAGTGTTTGGCCAAAAACTCAAGTTCTGAGGGCTGAATGGGCTGGAGCATTGTCGTGATGGAGAAACCAATTGCCACTCCTCCACATTTCTGGCCTATTGCGATGAATGGCGTCCCTCAGACGTTTCAGAACTTCAACGTAGTAAGTCTGGTTCACTGTGGAGCCTTGTGGAGGTACTCATGGTGAACAACACACTCAGCAAAGAAAACTGTCAGCATCATCTTGACATTGGATTGAACTTGGCAAGCTTTTTTTAGTTCTGAGGGATGTTTCATCCACACACTGGTTGAGCATAGCAAGTGTTTCAGTCACAGATTTTCCAAGTTTAACACAAAATTTTACAGCAAGTCATTGCTCCATCAGGTCATTCATTCTGAAATCTGACAAATGAAAAAATCGCACTTCACTAAAAACTGCGTAGCTAATCAACAAATAAAGATATCTGTAATCGGGAAATGGCTTTATCACCAGACGATCTGTACAAACCTAGCAAGACCAAACTGATTTCCCTGGAACCAACTGGAGCCATGCAATTCAAACAGTCCACTATTTTTTGAACAGACCTCGTAAGTGACAATTGACATTGCTTCTATTTCATAAATGAATATGTTTGTTTTCGTTTAAAACTAGCAATTAACTTTTCCCTTCTGTTTGTAATTGTATATACCTAATTTCTTCTGATATTAAAATTTTAATAGTGTCAACATTTATTCATATATCTTATAATCTATACTTAAATTATAGGTTTATCTCGTAGAAAATACCAGTGCATGAACTGTTTTAGAAATATATTATTCAATAAACAATTTTAAGATAATTCTTAGACAATCTTTAATAATTAAAAAATATGTAGAAAAGACTGAAATATCTTGATTTTTGTCAGGAACAACATTTTCCAGTGCAGAGATGACCTTTTATTAAAGGCTATTTTTTAAACTGTTTTTACATAATTTTGCAGAGGCATAGCCTCTAATAAAAGGTTGTCTTTGCAATGGAATACTGTTGTTCCTGTTGATTTGACATGCAAAAATCAAGACATTTTAGTCTTTTCTGCATATTTCTTAATGTGTAAATTTGTTAGTCATTTTTTTAAAAGAATCTTTGATAAATCTTAAAGGTAGATAGGATGTCAAATTATTGAACATCCTAGAACAAAATTTTGTCAATAAACTAATTTTTGTGAAGAAAGTAATTTTTCATCTCATTACCTTCATAATAATATAAAGAATTACTTCTTCAAAAACGACTTTTATATGTGAATATAAAATTATATGTAAAAAATATGCTTTTTTTTTTAAAGAGATTTACAATAAAAAATTTCATATACAAAATAAGTGCTGAAAATCTAATAAATAAAAAAGACAAATAACTGAGAAATTACTTGTATTGCATCCCAACAACATATTAAAGTATTTATTTTAGTGGTAAATAAAGTAATAATATTCAATATTTTTATAAAAATTTTTTTAAAGATTAAAAAAAACTTACTTGTCCGAAATAGACTGATTGACTGTGCACAAATTTGAGCAAAAAATGACATAAGTTTAGCTTTTCTCTCTTTATCTTGTCCAAATAACATCATCATCTATTATTTAAAATTTGAAATAATCAAATAATTTTGAAAGAAAATATATGTATTTAATGTTAACAGATATCCAACCTACCTGTTTGCTCACATCTAATACTGAATTATGAGGGCAAAACTGATAAATATGAAGCAGTAACTGTAAAATATCATCTATCAATGGCTGACATTCTTCTAATAAAGTTGATGTTGCTCTTTTTAATGTATCACACAATGCCTAATAGAGTTTTTATAAAATATTAATGAATTCATTAACACATTTTAAGTATTAAAATTTAATATTACCTCTGTAATATGTTCATCTGACATCCAATTAGATGCTAAAGTCATTAATAAAGGCATAACTTGCTTTAAAACAAGAAAAACTGGTTGTGGTAGATCTTTTTTGTTTTCCAAAGTTTTGTTTGTTTGTGTATCGTCTTTTGGACGAATATCAAGGGTAGAAAATAACATAGATAAAATATTTAAATTGAGAATAACAGTTGCTTTTGAAGTGGAAGACTGCTAGAAAAAAACTTGAATTATAAACAAATATTCTATTAATGAAATTTTTTAAATATGCATTTACCTGTTCTGTTAAAGTTTGCTGTAACTGATGTATTATTGGTGTTAATAATGTCTCCAAATAAGACATAATATAATCCAAAGACATGATGGAAAGAACTTGACCAATAGTACTCATAAGTCTAATACATTCCCGAGATTTCAAATTTGATAATGCTTCCTACATAAAATTTATGTAATATAACATTTCATTTTCAAATAACAAAATAATAAATATATATTTATAATGAAATTTTATGATTTACAATAAATTATGATTACTTGACTAGTAGAAAGAATTTGCTCTGCAAATGGTGCTAGACTAGGTTGACAATCACGTGTAATGTCTTTCAAAGCCATTGTAGAAGCTGGTGATACATCAGTATTTTGAATTCCCATCATTAGTATTGGTACTACATGCTCTAAAACTTCTGGATGAACATTAATCCATTCAGCATAAGATCCTTTAAAGTTAAAAAATACAAACAATAAATTAAAAACTAAAACATTAAACTAAAAATCTTTTAAAATTTTTAAGTATTAGTTATAAATCTTTTTCATTGAGAAAATTACCTATTGCATCCATTGTCGTTGATATAACTTGAACATTTTGAAGTAATATTTTTGGTAAATTAGAAAAGAATTGTGGTAAATAGTATTTTTCTTCTGAGTCAACACTTTCTGCAATTGCTTGAAATGCATATAGACAAGATTCTAAATACTGGAAACAAAATTTAATGTTATATGAAATATATACAATTGCTACACACACACACAAAGCATTCATCAAATCAACTTTTTCAAATATGTAATAAAACAAAGATCTTACTTGCCAATCAGAAGGATTAACTGATGCCCTGTTGACAGCAACACTCAAATGAGCCATGAGATTAGCTAGCATTGATTCACGCAAGATATTATAACAGTACATCTAGATAAAATATATTTACTTAACATATATATATATATAAAATAAAACAGACTTTACAAATCTCACTTACGAAAGAATCACCAACATCCTGACGGTAACACCTAAATGACTCTTTTTCATCTAAAAAAATTATTTATTTAATAATTAGTATGTATTAAAATGCACCATTATATAAAATATTAATATGTATTATAGAAAGATGTCTTAAATAATAATATCTATTATACAATTATAATGCAAACACATTGATGTCAAATAAGCACACAAACAAGACACTTCTCTAGTTTATTTATGCAGTAAAACCTCTCCCAACAGAACTTCAATAAAACAAAAATCTGCCTACAAGGAAAACATTCTTCAGAACAGAGCAATTTTCTATGTTAAATTTCACTGTTCATTAGAAATCTTTTCTCTAATATTTCTGTTTTTTTTTTTTTTTTTTTTATATTAATTATGTATTCATTTTTATTTTGGAAAACTGCTTATGAATTCTTCGTAAAGACTTTCCAAGAACTTTATTAAAAATTTTGAGTATAAGTATTATTTATAAATAGTTATAAAAAATAGTTAAAAAAGGTGAAGAAATGAAATATACATTTGTGTATATTTTACTTCATCATAAATATTTACCATTTTTACCATTTTACAATACAATCTGTTTATTGTAATCACTGAAGTGATAAAAATGCATAAAATGCATATTTTGGATATTTGATGATGTAACCCATCATTACCTACAATATGGTTAGATATTCCTTTTGAGAAAATACAGTTAATAGCTAAATAAATAAGAAAAACATGTTTTTCATAAATTGTACATTTTTGCATAAAATTTATACATTTTTAAAAAATTTGCATATACATATTCACATTAATTTGATTTTGTTATTAAATATTGATTTGCTAAAATGTTCAGAAGAATAAAATAGAATACAAACAACTGCTTAAACAAACCTCCCCAGCTTACACTAGTGAAAACTAGAGACAAACACTAGAGAAAAACATTCGTTGTTTTTCTCTTCACTAGTTCACCAAAACATTGTTTCTTCATACCAATACGGCAGAATTTAAATTTCTGTATCAATTTATTTTAAATATATTCTATTTTTTTCAGGGTCTACACCAAAATTTCAGGATGTATGTGATTTGTAATGTTAATATAATTGTAATGTATCCATTATATGCAAATCATGTACAATTACAAAGCCACCTAAAGAATTGAATTGTTTTGCACAGCAAGAAATTCCAAATATTGTTTATTATAAAGTTATCTTGTCAAAAGATTAGGAAGAGAATATATGAATGGCAGAAATACTATTTGTTTCTGTGTTCAAGAGTCTAGAAATAAGCCTCAGTTAAGTAAACTTGCAATATTTAAAAGTGAATTTCGACATATCATGTATTCCCAATATGGCAAATTAAAAATACTCTATGTCTGAGGAAAGTGACCAGAATATATAAATTTGTAAAATCTAAGTGACTCGTACAACATGGAATTCATAAATAATGGAATTATCAACAGTGTTATAGGGGGTCAACTTATTTTTTATTTTTTGAGGTCTCCAGAATGAATTAATCAAATTCCCATACAAACCTATGGTAAATTGATAATTGGTTAACGAACAATTCGGATAGAGAACAAAGTCTTGGAACGGATTATGTTCATTAACCGATCACCCACTGTAATTGAAGTACCAAAATGCAAACAATTTCAACTATGGTACTATGAGCTAATAACAATTAAATCAATTAATGGTTAACATTTAAAGCATGATATGGCTGATAACAATTGCATGTTATCAGCCATATAATCAGAATCTGGTTAGTTGTCATTATATTTAGGTAAATAGGAATTTCTAAGCTGTCTTTTTACTCAGTCTCAGCATATGGCTGATAACAATTGCATGTTATCAACCATATGCTGAGACTGAGTAAAAAGACAGCTTAGAAATTCCTATTTACCTAAATATAATGACAACTAACCAGATTCTAATTATATATATAATAAACAAAGTTCTAAAAGTGTATTTTAACTTTTGTTTTGGGATCTGCTAATTTTGATAATATTAAATGACCCAAAATTGTTTGTTTGTTCATTATTATTTTAACATTAGATGACTGATAACAATATCTGATTATAACAAGCAGACCCTACACCAAATAAACATATTCATAAATATAATCTTAAATTATCATTTATGACATGCTGTAATAAATTTTTTGTATTCTACAAGATTTGAAAATGACCAAACAAAGGTTTTCTATAGCCTGCATTTTCTATGTTGCATAGCAAGAGAATGCATATCTAAAAACAGAGAAATGTCAAAAAATAGTTACAGAAATGATGAAGGATCTGAAATTATATATGTATATATATTTATATACATATATAATTATATAAACATTATCTAAATATTTTTTAATGATTGAAAACATAATGAAAATTAAATCGTGATAGTGATGTGTGGAAAATTTTTGCTAAAAATTAATGATACTAATTTTTTTCCAGTATTTTTATCTTTCATACAACAATTAGTTAAAACAAAAACTTGTAATTTCTCTAAATATTTTTGAATAAATAATAATAAAAAAGTTTGAAATGGATTAATGTTTTTTATAATGAACAACACTGTTCAAAAACAAATAAATTTGAAAAAGTTTTTTATACTAGACAAGTATAATCTAGTACATATCAGTCATAAGTATAAATAAGAAAAGTTAAAAATATAAATACAGAATAAATAAAATTATTATTAAAGATAATAGAGAAATTGATTATTCTTGATTGATTGTACTTGGTTAGCTGATTATATTATTCAGATACCAAAATAAAAAAAAAATAATTAAACAAGTTTACTTGTAAGTTCTTAAATATGGATAGTTTTATTCATTATATTTATCTTTTTTTTTTTATACATAAAACTATTTAAAATTAACTTACCATTATGCCATTGTTGATAAGCATCTTCTGTAGGATATTGAATTTTAATTAAGTAAGTATCTACTAGAGATTGGAATAATGGATGAAATAATCTCAAATATGATTCAAATTTTGCTGGTTCAGATGCAACAATTTCATCCTATTAAAAAATAGTTATATTAAAAATATTTAAAAATTAAAATATTTTAAGTCATAAAATAAAGCAGTAGAATCCGGTCATTTTTCCTCGTTCTCTACTTTTATTTCTTTTGATATTTTCAAGAATGCAATTGTTATAGCTTTTGAATTCAATTAATATAAAAATTTAAAACATTCACTCAATCTCATATTCAACAGAAAACCATGCACTAAACAATTTTACAACAAAAATTGAATTATCAAGTAAATGAAAGAAAATGACACTTTCATAAGTTAAAATTTAACAAGTCAACTTATATATTGGGTGTTCAGAAAGTAATTTTGTTTTTTTTTCTGTGGAAAAAAACACAATATTTTTATATTGAAACTAGCTTACCCGTCGTTCATTGCTGCGATCTCAGAAGAAAGGAAATTCAAGCAAACTCGTTATGAAAAAATTCAATTTACATTTTATTATTTTTATTGAAACTTATTATTATTATTCATTTTCATCGGGAAAACATTTCAAAGTGTCGTTTCAATTCTATTTATTTATTGGAGTGTTTGTGGATACACAATATTTTTTGTTTTTCCGTCTGGTGCATACACGAATAAATCAGAAGGTTCTCTGACGTGTGAGCCGGCCACATACAGTTGTCCGTGCGAGAAGAACGGATTCTCCAAATTTAGCCCATACACTTGCAGCGATTATCAGAAGTGCGATATTCCCCATTTTTATATATATATTTTTTAATCCTTTATAATTTTAATTATTTAATTGCTCCTTCCTCTCTTCCTTGGCATGTTGTGAAATTTCTGATAGTT